GGGATATGTTCATTAAAACTTTTAAAAGACGGGACCTCGCCCACTTTTCATAATTTTCATACTTGTATATTACCAAATTGCAGTTTTGCTACTTATTGTGGAGCTTACTTATGGCGCTATATATGTATGTTTTCGATTAATTTCCAATTCGACCATCTGCAATATCAACCCCCCTTTGTTGACAAGCAATAAGTGTACTAATTTTCATCATTATATCTCAATTTTGAAAAGTTATGGCTTGCACGGACGGGCAGAAGGACGAACGGACAGGCACTCGGAATTCAACTCGTCTCGTCAACCTGATCATTTATACAATAACCCCACATCTAACTCGATTAGTTTTAGGTGATACAAACACCGTTAGGTGAACAAAAATATTATACTCTGTGGCAACATTTTGCAAGAGTATAAAAATTACTGACTCTATCGCGGTTTACAGACTTCTATTCTTAAAATGCCCCCCATTTTTTGTAATTTCAAGAGGTATACATACATACGAGGTTTGTTCAAAGCAAAAGGTGAATTTTAAAGCTTTTTGAAAGTACTTATTTATTCATCAATATCTATTTTGTTCTTTTCAAACTAATCCCCCGCCGATATAATACACTTGTGCCAACGCTGTTTCAAGTCCTTGAAGCACATCTGAAATGCGCTTTTCGGTATGGCCATCAGCTCTCTCGTCGATTCTGACTTGATCTCATGAATTGTGGCAAAACGCTTTCCTTTCATTGGTTTTTTCAGTTTAAGGAATAGGGAGCCAAATCAGGTTGAGGCATGGTTATGGTTTTGTTTTCAGACAAAAAATCACCAAATATCCTTGACGTGTGAGCTGGTGCATTTAGCAATTTTGGAACCAACTTCGCTGCCACACATTTCATGCCCAAAACATTCGAGAAAATTGAATTGCATTAGCCGATTGATATGCCAACATCCTCTGCAACTTCCCTAATAGTCATTCGACGATTTTCAAGAACAAGTTTTTCACGGTTTCGATCTTTTCTTCGCTTGTTAACGTGGTCGCACCTCAACATTTCAAGTGCCTTGAAGCACTTTATTCCAGTTTTAACGCAAAATTTTATACATATTTTTTTATCCATTTCTTTCAAAAGCCAAAAATAGAAGAGCACACAAAAACGTGACTAACCTTTGTCAAAAACAAACTACTAATCGAAATTGGCTTCTAAAGCAAGTACATGATGAACATGTGTCCGATTATAACAAAAACAAAATATCGATAATTGAATGTACACAATTCGTGAACAATAAAAATTCAGCTGAACGCTCCTCGTTGCTACCATATTTCATTAAGAGCAGGTGTTGAATGGGATTGAGATCTGGACTCTGAAGAGGCTGCGGCAGTTGTACAACAACTGATCCTTAACCACTAAATCAGAATAGTTTAGGTCATTATCCTGAATAAAGCAGTAACCACCTTATCTACTGACGGAGCCAAAATATTTTTCAATATTGCCAAGTAGTTCATTCTTTTCATAATTAATTCGGTGAAACCAACGTAACCGTCATAATTCCTTCGGTGGAACCAACGTATCCCTCAGTACTAAGCCCTTCTTATGCCACACTTATCGACTCGTTGGCGTTAGGGACAGCGGATATTTTGGGGTGTTCTTTGATACCGCGAGCAACTTAACTTTCAGCCTGAGGCGTGCAAATTAGTTTTTTGCCTTCCACTTCCATCAAGTCTTCCAACTTCACCAGTCTTTGGCCTATTTCGCGAGAGCTTTTGTTCTGTTGCCAATATTTGACTACCAGAGCTTGTTTGTTCATCCACCTCATCTTCGAAAACTGCAACCGCACAAAAGGAGAAACGACGCTTTGCAAAAAATACAGTTTGACGATGCGCAAATAATGCCAGATAAATATAACGGTATCTACTAGATAACTGCATTTATGGTAAAGTGGTGTCCAAAAATGAGATATTAAAATTTTTTGCAACGCTAAACATTAAAATGAAATACATACAATATGTAAAAAAATGCGATAAATACATAAGATTCATATAATCTTTGTCCACACTTATGTATGTACTCTTTTATGAATCACACGATTGTGAATAAAAAAAGCAAACACTGAGCTGATTATTATATATACATAAAATAAGTTTTAAAAGTATTCTCAAACATATTTTTGAAATTACTCCTGCATTCGGAAAAAACTTTCCGAAAAGTTATAAATTTCAATTAAAAGCTCGAAGAAACAAGCAAAAGTAATTTATACAATCACTGTCATTGTTAAGTATATACTTACATATATTAGACTATTCTGCAAAATTACCAGCTCTTTGCTTTTTAATTGAAGGCATTATACCGGAAAAAATGTCAATAATCGCTTATATAGAAGATATATGTCGGTAAACTTGTCTTTATAAAAAATATAATTATATAACAACTATTCTAAGCATACCACCGAAACAGTTCGCCTGTCGATCTTATTTAACACGCCTCACACCTTAAAAACACCACAAGAACACAGGAACATATTATATTATACTTTTGGAACACCATTTGAGAACTGTATTGCAAGAAGATCTTTCGGCCGCACCTGACAAGAACTCGATCCTGTCCGCGGGTGTGATTGATCTTAGTGGTAAATGTCATACTGAAAGAGCTTGAAGAACGTGGCTGTCAGACAGTCTACTCTTAAGGTAAGAGAAAATTTTCTAAACTACCGTCTATGAGCTAACTCAAAAGTATTTCAATGTTGTATCCAACCGGGCGAACAGAAGCGGCTTAGCAGTCAATCTCAGACATCTCTAACCCCTCATTAGGGTGTCCTGCCTTCAATATGTTGACAGGGTGAAGTACCTGAAGCTTATACTTAATTGAAAGAAAGGATTCGGTTGTCTTATACTGCTGTAGAGGAACTATTATGAGGTGAAGCCCCTTACCAAAGATGGTGTTTTAACGAAACCATGGGCATGCCAATATTGTCCTATTGTACTGTACGCTCAAAGTTAGTGAACGAATATCTGTTCTCATTATCAATAGCATTAAGCTTCATTATAAATCTTGTTGTAGTACCTGATAATAAAGGAGTCGGTGGAAACTACGAAACCGATAAGCTTGGAAGAGGAAACAGCCTTGTATCAATTACATTGGATTGGGAACGAACTGGATCTCCGTGGTTTTCTTGTGTGCTATCGTTGGACGTTTGGACTTCGCGTGAGCTTAGCAGGTGCTGATTAACGACCAGATCACGTATGCAACTGTGAGATTTTTCTGATTCAGAGTAAAATGCAGGATATCGACTGAACTATATTATTTGCTGTTAGCAAAGTTCATCTTGCCGTAATTGCTGGAGTTTTTACTGGACTTTGTCCACAAGCCATTCATGCGGTAAGCCTAAAAATATTGTCGGACGCAAATTGTGAAAGCTGTATGGGGGAAGGTGGGTAGGAAATATACTGGCAGTTCTTTCACCATCATCCTCATAATGTTCTGTAACATATTTTGAAACGCATTAACCCGGTAGTCGATGTACAGTGACAGAGAAAACCATCAATAACGCCATCACAATTAATGTTTATTCTTTTTGACATTAACTTATGCAACGACGGTTGAAAGATAAGCATTAATTTCAATAAATGCAGTGAGTATGACAAAAAATTTACTTGTAAGAGTAAGAATATAATATATTTTCGTATATATTTGAATAATGTTTGTGCTTCTATTTTCGATAAAACCAAAAAAATTATATACTTTTTTATCTCTGTAGAGAAACAAAGTGATCATAATCGGATCATAATTGTTTAAGCTTGTGCCTGACTTTTTACTGAAAATATATGAATGATAATCTCGGAAGAAGTATTGCAGATTGAATCAAACTATTGGCATGACCATAAAATGCCGTTTAGTAAAAAAACTAAAAAGTGCTACAGTTAAGTCACAAAACTTAAAAAAATATGATACGGAGGAAAATAATGCAATAAATATAATTATTGTGTCACAATAAAATTAATAACAAACAATTTTATAATTACAATTTATTAATTTGAATGTTTTCTGAATTTTGCGGGATTACTATTTATAGTGAGAAATAAATTAAACAGTTTTACAAATAAATATTTATGAAGGAAAACTGGAACGACATGGACTGAGTATACTTTATTGATTTTTATAAATATATATTCACATATTATATAAATATGTATGTACTATTTTTAGTTATTATTGAATCGAATTTAATTATTATTATTATTTTGCATATCTATCTAAGCGCATGTATTTATTTAAATATAATAATTTATTGGCAGAATTTGAGTTATGTTTGGTATAATCGAAATATCTGTTTTATTTTTATGTTGTCATGTTGAATTTTTTAAATGTTTTGTGAGTTTACATTACATATGAAAACTAAATTAGGTATAGCGCTTTCGAATATCTCGGTGGTAGTACGGAAACTGCATAATTTCCAACAATTTTAATTAAACTAGCTACTTATACTTTTATAAATACCTTTGTGGGTAACATGTTAACTCTGGCATTGGGGGATAACTGCTTAAAGTAATGAATATGCTACCAATATGTTGTTCAAGAGTATAATAGTTGCCTTCAGCTTACACCTTTAGATTGATGAAATCGGACTACTGCATTGTCTATGAAAATTTTCTTAAATGCACATTACTTGCCATAATTTAGTAACGAACTAAGCTGCAAAAGTTCGCACAGATCGTCTTTGGAATCATGTGTGTTTTTAATTTTTTTGATACATGCGACCCTACCCTGTAAAAAAAATGTAATACTCGTGGCTAAAAAACTGGAATATGTCGAAAAAACTGGGAGGAAACATCAAATCATCTTATGGTACAACAACAACAAAGTTTCAATTGGTTATGCGAAATTAATATGATGAATAACCACATGCCTTGTGGTAAATCAGAATATTCATTCCTTTCCCAATCGCCATTACCCAACATAGTAATTTCTCTTACACTTGAATGTATTATGAAACACATTAATCAACATATACATAATATTTTGCACTTATCAGTTAGTAGGAAGGTAGCGGATATATTTGATACTGATACTAAAATTTTTACACGTTTCAGCATAATGCAATAATATTTTCCAACCATCATATCTTCTAAATTGGGAGTTTATACCATATATGTAGATACAAATATGCACTAAAAATGGTTAAGTTGTTCAATCTTATAAAAATTAAATGTACCATGTTATAAATAAAAACTCTATTACATGATTGATTAATCACATAATTTTTTCTCACCATGTTCTTTGGAATCGCTAAAAGCTTCCGGTTTTCTATTGGTATGTCCAATAGCTCTGGCACTTTGCACCAATAATCATTAGGAACATTTGCCATAAAAATTTGATTAAAGGCGCAAAATCCACAAGGTATACATGCTGGTAGGCAAATTCCAAAAACCAGCATTTTTTGATATATTCCAAACTCTCCTATTGATGGCAATAAGTCATCTAAATCAAGAGATTCCTACAACGAATTTAATAATTGTTAATTCAGAGGTTTAAAATTATGGATGTATACATACATCAAGCTTTTCGTTATCATTTCTTAAATTATTTCCTTCACAAATGTCGGCCACAATTTCGTTTCCATAATCCATATTCGCTTTATTAATTATTTTATATAATTAAATTTCTTCTATTGTTTGTTAGTACGGCGGTATGAAGACCTAAAAGTTTCTACTGGAACTTTATATGCGAAATGTATTAGGGTAAACTATCTTTGTACAAAGTACAAACGTATTTATAGTTACATATTTCAACAACTTGAATAATTAATGATTTCAACTCATTCACCATCCTGATCACTTATAGAAATACAACTCTATAGCTAACTCGCTTACTTTTAGGTGGTACAAACAACCGTTAGGCGAACAAAACTATTATACTCTGTAGCAACATGCAAATGTTCAAATTAAGAAAGAAGTCACAAATTTAGAAAGAAAACTGTAGTTCAGTAGTCAAGGAAACTTGTGGGCGAAAAATACTTTACAAATGGGCGTAGCTCCGCGTTCTAAATGGTTTAATGTACATATCTTCCAAACCACTTGAGCTGTATCAACCGAACTGCTGAGTGTCATTTTATCAGCTTTCCAAACTCTGGTAAAATGGATAAAATCGGATAATGTACGATTGTGATTACTCACTGAATAAATGAGCGAAAAGCATAAAATTTCACAACCAGGATGGTAGGGTAGGGTTTCGTAGGATCTGGCGTAAGAATTGGACAATAGGCGTGGTACTGCCCACCTTTGAGTGAAATTATATATCTCAGGAACTACTTGTGAGATTACCCAAACATTTCCATTACACACTGCAAAAAGTGTCGTCTGAATTTTTCACTTTACAGTATACAAATCAAACATCAATAAATTTATCAGAATAACGTTAGAACTTCGTTCAAAAATTGTCGGAATCGAACTATAACTTAAGCCCAAAATGCGTAAAAATTGATTTTAATGAAATTCAGAAATAATCTCTTTCTAATAACAGTGTCTCTTTTTACTTAAATGGATGCAATAACGGCGATACTTCTCTTAGTTCGATATAAAGTACTGTCAATACAAGAAAGAATATCCCCGGCTTTGATTCTTGATCAAGTTGCAAGAGTATAAAATGTGCGGTTATACCTGAACTTAGCCCGTTCTTACTTGTTTTTTGCGTTTTCTCAAAAAACTTACCATAATAATGTATATTTGTTTTACACCATCAAAAAGCAGAGACTTTATTAAATATAAATCCTACTGACTTTAAAAAAATTTAAAAAATCGTAAATTTTGACATGAAATATTTTTTATTGAAAATTAGGGTGTTTTTTTGCTATAAGGTCAATATAAGGAGAAAAAATATATATTTTAATTTTATACAGTGTATTTGGGACATAAGAGTTAAAAATAAAAAACCCAAAAACTGGGTTATTTGAACTTTTGACATAAATTTTGAGGTAATTAAAAAAAGTCTGTATACAAGAGTTATAGATCTTTTCATTACCTACAAGATTGCCATACCGCTTTTTTCTATAGAACCTGTAGTTTTGCCGGAACTCGAGCTAAGCCGTTTTAAGCCCTTAAAGAGTCAATCACGCCCCTACCCTTCCTTTTGCTGACCTCAAACCGCCCGTAAATTATTTTTCTTTTAAGATTGATTGCTGCTCATTTGTCGGAATGGCCAATATCGGACCACTATAACATAAAACTGAACGATCTGAATGCTTGTATGGAAAACTCTCTCATTTGACGAGGTATCTTCATGAAATTCGGAAAGAATTATTATCCAAAGTAATCTCCGAAGAAATTGTTCAGATCGGGCAGATAGCATATAGCGGTCATACAAGCTGAATGATCGGAATCAAGTTCTTCTAAGGAACCTTTTGTGTTTGTTAAGGGTATTATAGCTTCGGTGCAACCGAAGTTACCGTTGTTTCTTGTTTTTTTTTATCATATCCAAAAGCACTAGTCTAATATTGAAATCATGTGAAACAACTTCAACCAAAGGATTGGAATTCATTATACATGGTTTTTCAATAAGAGTGATATGATTTTTTTTCAAAAAAAGTTATTGTAAAGTACAATCGATCCAATTAATTATATAATATAACATCATTCGAATGGCCTCCATGACTTCCTTTGCAGGAATGAATTCGATGAACCCAATTTTCGAGTGATTTTTCCACTAAATTAAGTCGTATCTCATGAATGGCACATTCAATATTGACTTCTAAAGCTTGAAGAGAGTCTGGTTTATTGCTAAAGACCAATGACTTCAAATAACCCTCCAAGAAGTAGTCTAATGGTGTTAAATCACAACTTCTTGGAGACCATACAATGTTACCATTTCTTGAAACTATTGAATCTAAAAACTTTTTTCGCAATATTTCTTTTGTTGCAACTGCTGGGTGGCACGTAGCCCAGTCTTGTAGGAACCAGATGTTGTACCGATCAACTTCTTCCAATCGCGGCCATAAAAAGTTCATCGATCCATACCGCTCTTCATTGACAGTAACGATGCCAACAGCTTCATTTCGGAAGAAGTACGGACTGATGGTTCCACCAGGCCATAAACCACATCAAACTATCAATTTAGGTGGACGATAAAATGGCAAAAGCGCACGAAAAGTTGTAATTGGAGAACTATTAATTTGAAAGTAAAATGGAATTATTTGTAAACGTAGTTTTGCGTTTACTGAATACAATGAAAAAAAATTACAGATCATGACACATTAAAACTGACCGCAACGACACTTCGAAATCATATCATCCTTATTGAAAAACCCGACATAAGATATATCAGCGCAAAATTACAGAGCATGACACATTAAAAATGGCCGAAACGACACTTCGAAATCATATCATCCCTATTGAAGAACCCGACATTAGATATATCAGCGCCAAACCATAACTATAATTTTATAACTTTTAAGAAAACGTGTCCGCTTAATTTTATTAAAATACGACACATTGTGACTAACCTAAACGGTATAAAGTCAGATGGAAAATCGGAAATCATTATGTAGGATATTGGGGGCGGAGAAATCGAATGATTGATTGCATTATTATTTGACAATATTTAAGTCGGAAATCATTATATAGGATATATTGGGGCAGAGAAATTAATAGGGCGGATAGCATTATCTTTTGACAATGTCCAGGTATACTTGAGAACTTATTTTCAAGCAATTTTATAAAAACTATATAAATATAAACATACCTACAAGTATATATGGAGGCAAGTCAGCCGGAAGTTTAAAAATACTGAATATCAGTTATATGTGGGCTAAAGCAAGTTTTCACCCGATTTTATCCATTTAGAGCTATTCTATAGATTGGCAGATATTTTCGGTGGGGTATGTGGGAGCTTGAACAGCTTTGGTCCGATTTTGACAATTTTTGTACTGGAAAGTAAAAGAGTCATATGGCATTTAAACTAGTGCTATCTTGAAACTAGGCGTGGTTGTCCGATTGTGCTCATTTTTACAACTTAACATAAGATCGTCAGAATAATGTTTTGACCCCAGCTCCCATAAGACCCTCATATGTAAACCTGTATGTGAAATTTAATGTCGTCGGTGCATTTACTTATTGATTTATCGCAGTTTTAGTAGTTTTTAACAAAACCGTTATGTGGTAAGAGGGCGGGGTTATAATTCGATTTAATTCATTTTCACACTATCGATAGGCGTTCTGATAGGAATTGTGATGAGCGAATTTGGTTATTATAGCTCCTAAACCACTAGGATATACACTAAACCAAATAGAGGAAGATGCTACGCCATTTTTTCAAAATTTTTAGTTCACAAGTGCCCCTTACTACTGCAATCCCTTGCACCTAAATACAGGTTTATTTCTTAATGCGCATGTACCAAGTTTCAATAAGATATCTTAATTTTTACTCAAGTTGTTGATTGCACAGACGGACGGACGGACGGACGGACAAACAGACAGTCAGTCGCTTCAAATCATCTCATTATACTGATCATTTATAGGTATATGGTATATATTAGGCCCAGTAAAAAGTTCATTCGGTTTTTTATTGATTTTTCAAAAGATGATAACTTTGTGTACATTTGTTTGTAAACTTGTTGCCAACGAGATGGTCACTTTATTATACCTCTCGCGGTGAGGGATGCGTCCCTATTGGCAAAAAACTCGGAGAGCCAATTTTCACCTCCTCCTCTATTGAGGCCAACGTCTCACTATTAAGCGCGTTTGAAATGGACCGGGAGCTCGGATGGGAGGTCCTAATGCACCCACCTTACCTGACCAAGTAAGATGGTAATCACTAGCTTCTAGCTCGTCACCAAAGACGTGTGTGGCCTGGCGTTGTCCTGATGGAACACAATTCGGCTTCTGTTGATCAAAGTTGGCCTTTTCTGGATGAGTGCTGCCTTCAAGCGGTCCAGTTGTTGGCAGTAGAGGGTCGAATTGAGCGTTTGGCCATAAGGGGGAAGCTCGTAGTAGATGATTCCTTGCCAATCCCAGCAAAACCTTCCTAGCCGTCAATCCGGTCTTGACCACGACCGTTTGGCTCGATGTCGTCGTAAGTGACCCATTTTTCATCGCCAGTCACAATCCGCTTCAGAAACGGGTCGATTTTGTTGCGATTCAGCAGCGATTCCAGATGATAATTTGGTCCTTCATATTTTTTTGCTTTAGTTCGTGTGGCACCCAAACATCGAGCTTCTTTTTGAATCCAAGGTTATGCAAATGGTCACGCTCAGTGCTCACGTCTGTTTCCATTATTTCTATCATTTTATCGCAATTTTCGACGACAGGCCTCCCGACGCGTGGTGCATCTTTGACATCGAAATTACTGGAACGGAAACTAGCAACCCACTTTTGTGCTACACGTTCGTTTACAGTATCGGGCCCATAAACTAAATTAATTTTTTCAGCCGCTTTGACAGCTTTTTCGCCTTGATCGAAGAAAAATTGTAAATATAGCGAATTTTCTCTTTGCTGGTGTCCATCTTTGACTAGCGCTCACAACGTACTGAGTCAATCAATCGAAAAACTGTAAAAGACAAACTTTTAGCACGAATAAACACGTTTTTTGCGCCGTATAGTATGGCATGATGCGACACGTAACACTAGTACTATGGACAATAACGCCATCTCTTAGATAAAAACCTCGATTATATTGAGGTAATACAAAAAACCGTTAGGTAAACAAAACTACTATACTCTGTAGCAACATATTGCAAGCGTATAAAAATGTAAACTTCGGTTGCACCGAAGCTATAATACCCTTCAGAAATACAAAATGTTCTTTATAAAAACTTGATTCCGATCATGCAGTTGGTATGGCAGCTATATATTATAGTGATGCAATCTGAACAGTTTTTTCGGAGATTGCATTTCTGC